ATTTGGTGGATATCGGAGTTGATATAGTGATAAAAATGGGGCAAAATACGCTTCTTTTAGCTGTAACATAATGTCTGATGGTTGGATATGCTTTAAACTTTTCGGACACTTTCCTTGTAAGTCTATGAGTAAGCTTACCAATTTTTGTTGCAATTGGAGGTCGGGAAAGATACTCAATATCTATTTGTTTGAAGAAAATTGTGCTGGCCGAAATTAGCGCTAAAAAACCATCCTACAGTCGGCATGCGCGGCTCACTGTCGATGGCGCACTACCTAGCGACAGTTTCGCGTAACTAGCGTTTAATGGCGCTGAATAGCGTCATTGAAAGGGTGCACGAGAATTGGCGGCATTGTCGCTAACTGGCGGAATCTAGCATCATTTCACGCTAGATGATGAATTTCAACTATCGGTAAAAGTCTCTTAATTCTAGTATTAGTACTAGAGTAGCAGAGAGTAGTTGAGTGTGCACTTCAATGTCCACAATTTTTGACCACACAGGGTCTTTCACTAGGTCATTCCAAACCAAAATCATCTAGGTACCCATTTTGTATCGCTAGTCCCAGTCCTACAGGGCGAAATTTCTAAATTGCCCTCAGGCGCAAATTTTGGATTTTTGTATCTCGGCTTCTAAACGACTTAGAGACTTGAATATTGGCTTAAAATAACCGCAATAGCCATATTTATATACAAGTTATGAAGCAATATAAGGTCTCAAGTGCCTAGTTTTTAAGATATTCACGAAAAACTGTCTTTTAGCTCATCGCAGCCTGAATTACCGGAGTATTTTTATATCTCGAGCTAGAAAGGTCGTTAAAACTTCTCCAATATTGATAAATATTCGCGATGAGCACATTTATATAAGACTTATGAATCATTATATGCTCTAAAATGCTTATTTGTAGAGATATTGGCAAAAATCGGTAATTTTGGGTACAGCAATACAAGTTTGGTAATTCGTTTTGTCTTTTTGTTGCAAATTTTCACGTTGCAATTTTCAAGATGCAGTTTGTGGCTATCGATAGGGCTTTAAATATGCTATTGTATGGTTTTGATACAATCTTTCAGCACCTGACATAGGCAATAGGGGTCACAAACCGTCACAAACCCTGAAATGTCAGGAACTGGGCAGTGGCTGAGATAAATATTTGATAATTACTTGGACTCTTGACTCACATACATCTTTTCAACGGTTAGTTAGACATCTGAAACCAGTCTTGAACGAGGAGTAAAACTTCTCATCCATTAGTAGCACAGGTGATGTGCCCCAGATTCCCAGAACCTCACGCCTGAGTGACAGTGGGCCTTATCGATCATGAGCCGCAAATCACAATGACTTTGGGCCTCAGAGACAAGGGCATTCGTACTCTTGGCTTAAATTGGCTCCTCGTTAGTATCATCAATCAGGTTTCTAACTTCTATATCAACTGCCTGTCCAGTTGCAGTGTCCATCCGTCTCTTTGAGATTCATTACTACTTCAAGTTCAGACATTTAGCATCTGTTCAACTGTAGGTGTAATGAGGGACCATACAATAGCATATTTAAAGCCCTATCGATAGCCACAAACTGCATCTTGAAAATTGCAACGTGAAAATTTGCAACAAAAAGACAAAACGAATTACCAAACTTGTATTGCTGTACCCAAAATTACCGATTTTTGCCAATATCTCTACAAATAAGCATTTTAGAGCATATAATGATTCATAAGTCTTATATAAATGTGCTCATCGCGAATATTTATCAATATTGGAGAAGTTTTAACGACCTTTCTAGCTCGAGATATAAAAATACTCCGGTAATTCAGGCTGCGATGAGCTAAAAGACAGTTTTTCGTGAATATCTTAAAAACTAGGCACTTGAGACCTTATATTGCTTCATAACTTGTATATAAATATGGCTATTGCGGTTATTTTAAGCCAATATTCAAGTCTCTAAGTCGTTTAGAAGCCGAGATACAAAAATCCAAAATTTGCGCCTGAGGGCAATTTAGAAATTTCGCCCTGTAGGACTGGGACTAGCGATACAAAATGGGTACCTAGATGATTTTGCTTTGGAATGACCTAATGAAAGACCCTGTGTGGTCAAAAATTGTGTACATTGAAGTGCACACTCAACTACTCTCTGCTACTAGAGTATAGTAACAAAAATCGAAGTTCATAGTTGGATAAATGTTTTGTTAGATAAATATTTTGATCACAAAATAGCCATAATAACACTACGCGTATACTTTCAGCAAGCATTTAGTTTAGCTTACAGAGGGTACGAGTTATTTTTAGCTGTCGTATCTTTCGTCTGGTTCATTCTGGGTACAGTTTGGGTCTACAGCGTATTTACAAATGTGAGTGAAAACCGATGGAGACATCTTTAACACGATTACAGATTATTTATCAGTTTTATTTAATTTTAACCCTTGAAGTGGATTCCATCAAATGAATGCCGCATTAAAACATTTGCTTGAAGAATATTTAAACTTGAAGCAGGATGTGATATCTAGGTTTTTACTTTTTGGGCAGAAAATGTTTAAAACTTAATTATTATTATTATAAAATTTGACCAAAACCCATAATCATGGGTAGAGTGTACCGCTGCCAGTGTCTCTCTTTTCCAAACAAAAGGAAATGATATTAATTTGAGGAACAGTCCGCTAATGCAAATTGATACCGAGAATGAAATCGGTCGCTCGCTTTTTCAAATCAATAAGCTTTATTACAATTCGTAAGCCGTGATCGAATGGAAAAAGCGAGCGACCGATTTCATTCTCGGTATCAATTTGCATTAGCGGACTGTTCCTCAAATTAATATCATTTCCTTTTGTTTGGAAAAGAGAGACACTGGCAGCGGTACACTCTACCCATGATTATGGGTTTTGGTCAAATATCATCTCTTTTTGATTATAATGTCAGGATAATTTACACAGCTAGTCGAAACTTCATTAACAAGGAGGTAATTTCGACGATTTCGAAATTCTGCCTTTGAAAACGTTTCCTTGTGTTTAGTTAGGTATTTCTGTCGATAACCGACTGAATATGGCACTTTTTACTCATTCAAGTTGGCATTAAATTCATATATAATGCCATTTAAATATCGTGGAAAGCAGAATATATTCGAAATCACGAATGAGCAAATTTCTCACCTTTCGCACGTGCAAACTTTGAGCGGACGTCGCGTGCGCATACAATATTGAATCACCGTAAATTTTTGCATAGTGGTATTTAATATATAGTTTGATAAGCATGCAAAGTTTCAGAAGATTTCAAAAAGAACTTGGATCACAGCGGGACTCCAAAGTTGATAAAAATCGTGAAAATCAAAATTTTTAGCGATTTTAGCGATTTTAAATGAATTTGGGCGTGTCCCCACGTGTGCAACTTTTCGATTTTTAACTTTAAAACTAGCCTATAACACAATTTACACCTTTAAGAAGCAAAATTGAGCTCCACAACCCAAGGGATGGCCCAACACCAGAGAATACTAATTCACAACTTTTGTGTTTTTATAAAATTATTCTTCAAAAAAGCACTAACTTCAATAGCAAATATCTTTATGAAGGAGCAAGGTAGGAAACTATTCCGGTAGATTTTCGGAATGCTTGAACAATTATCTAAGATGAAAATGTCCTCAGATTTTGAATAAAATTACTCCTTAATAGTGTAAAATCGATTTAAAAAGTTGTTACTTTGTCAAAAGTCAAGTTTTAAAAACACTTAACTTGATGACGTCATCAAGTGATGATGATGACGTTAAATTATTTTTCAATACAATGTAAACTAAAGCTTAAACAATTATCTTTAAAACCTGTGGTTCGAAATGACTGTATCGTTTATACTTTTGAATCTACGGACACTTAAATGTAGGCTACAATTGACTGCAAAAAGCGTCTATACATACATATATATCTTCACGACAATCTGTTGTAAAACAGGGGTTCCAGAAAACCCACTTCCCGATACTCCTGAAACATGACATTTTTTTTACAGTCGATTTGGACAAGGTCTAGACGCCCTGCAAAGTTTCAGATCTCTAACTCAATTTTAACATGGTTTTTAAGGCACCTGAATATGGCGATTTTGGGTTTTTTACCTAATTTCGTATAACATGCTGGCGCGTATTTTGCGCAAATTTCTTAAAAACCTCCATACAACTATTTCTTATTCCTGTCATCTTCAACATTGAATTAGAATGTTTTGAACTTAAATGTACCTGCTGAACTACTTTCGATGAGTCTTAATGCCTGGAAAACAATAAAGGGGATATAATCGTATAGGGGGTAAATAGTGTTGTGAATATAAGGGCGACGGTAATGCTTGCCAGCATTGTGACAGGATCTTACCGACAAAAATGATTCTTAAAAATACCTTAATGCGGTAAACTGTACCCTTGAAAAAGATTTTCCCAACATCTGTTGCATGCAGCTATATCTTTAATTTCGTTCAATTCATACAAGTTGTCCATTTGCAAACTTCTACTATTTAAATCACTTCTTAAAACCGATAACAAGTTCATTCTAGGTCTCCCCAATCTTCCAATGAATAAATTATCTGATTCAATAGCAAATGAGAGAGCCGTTTGGGCTGGGGTGTTCTCCATACTCCTGAGAATGTGTCCAAACATTTTCCACCGCTGGTGTTCAATACGCTTGGATAACTTTTCAACTTTGCACCTTTCATACAATGCTTTGTTGCTTATCATACCTTTAGGCCATTTGATGTTTAAAATGGACATGAGGTGTCTACGATGGAGTGTGTCCATTTTCTCCATGGTTGCTTTCTTAGGACTCCAACTATTTGAGTTGTAAATCAATACAGATACAACTTGAGCATCGTATAACCTCAGCTTTCTTTCAAGGGATATTTTCTTACCAGACAGCCAAACTTTTTCAAAGTTCTTAAAAGCAATCTCAGCTAGGATTAAACTTAATTAATAAAACTTAATTAATAAAACTTAATTAATAAAACTTAATTAATAAAACTTAATTAATAAAACTTAATTAATAAAACCCAGGTGTGTTTCAACAGAGGAGACGTTATCTGTTACTGTGATAACGTGTGTTACTGGTTCGCATTTCTCATGATCACTCTAACTTACATCCTAATAGGTATGTTCACTGTTTTATTATACAAATATACTGACTATTTCCCTATTGTCGGAAAATAGAGGTGATGATGACGTATGTGATGATGACGTATGTGATGATGACGTATGTGTTGTACAGAGATGAGCGGCTGTTTTGGAAAACTTGAAACAATAGATATTGTGTAATTAACGATACCGTCTAATCATTTCAGTGATACTGGTGATAGTAGTGGTAGTTATCATGACATTTTCCCTACGTTGGTTTGACAGACGAGAAATAATGGACCGACCAAGAACTGGCTACGAAAATGTTGACTCGCCTCCGCCTCAAACGGAACAGATGAACTCGCCTGCTCCTCTCGTAGGACCGGGCGAAGGGGACTCAACTCAGGGACTGTTTTTGGGAGATAACTCCTTTCTTAATCTTAATTATAGGAGCACTCAGACTAACGACCAGAACTATTCTCACATAGAGAACGACTGACTATCTAGTTACTTATAATTTTGTGGTTTTATATTATAAGTTATGGTTGTAACAAAGTCAGAGATAAATTTTAGAAATGGTGATATTTTAAAAGTTATTTTACTGTGCTGACTGGTTTCAGTTAAAATAAGTTAAAGTTAAAAGTTTAGTTCAGATGACAATTCAGACATGATCTAAGTTATGGTAGCTGTTGTAAGATGTAAGCACTGAACAATGAATAAGTTATAAGACAGTGTGTTCAACACACCCCTTTATTTGTCATAAATCGTATTCAGACACGATAGATATTAAACATAATCAACCCAAGCAATAGTTAAAACACACTTCAAGTAACACACTATATTTCCTCCCCTATTATTGCTTGGTCCTACGATACTTCATCGCGGTTGGATCCTCAGTTCGAGCTGCTGAACCCTTGTGACTGATGACGTCATCAAACTTTGAACCAATCAGTGGCGGTCCCCGTGGTTTGGGATTGTTCCTCCGGATAGCGTCACAAATGCTTTCTCCACGATACCTGCAATTAAAATAAATAAATATATGTTATAAGAGTTTAATGTATAAATGTTATCGGTGGTTTATATCAAGTTTTACAAAGAATGCAAATGTTAAGAAAAGATAAATATTCACTTTTAAAAGTTTAATGATTGATTCGAAATTCGAATGAAACTTGAAAAAATTGGAAATGCTGATAAATAGTGATAATCTTTATAGTAATTGTTTATGTTTCATCTCTGTAATTTAACTTATATTAACAGAAACTATAATTAATCTAGATTAGACTTGAGCGTTCTTTTCAACTATCCCTTGTTTAGAACTTTTATTTAATAATAAATAATAATAATATGCCATGAATAGTATGGGGCTGGATGGATAGCAGGCTGCTGCAGACCCCTGTCAAGCTTAAAGTAAAACAATTATACTGTCATTAGTTGTCATACGTTGTGACCTGCCGAGTGCCGCGCCCGAGTGCGTAGCTGTATCGTAGCCACGATACTAGTGGCTTTCACTTAGTGAAACGACAATGGGGGTCACGACGTGATACAAGTCATTAGGCGTATGGCTTTTCAATTTAAAAATTTATTTAACACGCTTACCACGTATCTTAGTAGTGTCATTTCTTTCTTGAATTATAACGACTAATCTGGGGACCTCAGGCTATCATGTTCATAAACGAATACAGATTAAGCGGAATTACAGGCTGTGCGCGGCCTAGTAAATACCGACTAATGATTAACGAAATTTTAATTATTGCTGCATTTTATTATTTTCCTACACATCTCGTCGTCTCTGGAGTATAATTTGCGATCAAATATCGCATAATTGCAGCATCTATTGTCGTTCAAGCGCCGCAATGTGGTGGGAGAACCTGTTGATGCTCCCACAATATGTATACTCTCGTACGGCTATAAGTTTGAGCGGTTTTAATGCACGGCTATATGATTATAACTGGGATTTGTTCCGTATATATTGCTATTTTCCTTTATTGTATCAGATGTTTATATTATTAGCAGTCAAATACGTTAGGAATTAGGAATTAAACAGTGTGATCTTATGGATAATGATATTAGCTGTAAATGCTTTATGGCGTATTAGCTTGGGGTAATATTAGTTCAAGTTGGTACACAATATGAGTATGACATTAGATACATATTTACCGACTTTGGATCGACAATTGTTGAAATTTAAACGGTATATATTGTCTAAAACAATAATTGGTATGCATTGTTTCGTCTCGGCACACGGTGTCGGTATTGCCACCTAGACCTAGGTCCTTTACCTTGTGCTCACAGCATTCATTTTATTCTATGGCCTCTTTTCTGAACATGATATATTTTTAATGTCAATCTTACCCGATCCGCTAATACACAATTTGCATTCAAATTCCACAAAAAAAACCTTAAAATTAAGTCGTTTAATAAGTCATATCTACTCGAATATCAAATCAAGCTTGTTTGTTATATTCGTACCACACCAATATCATTAAAAACATAGTTCTGCAGAGAATAGGAATGCAAGAAATTGGGTCTCCAGAATCTTCTCCTCGTCGAAGAAGTTTCTAGTGACCAATACAGAAGACTACAATATTTATTATCTGCACACAGAATTAATTAAAACTGCACTATAATTAATGAACAGTTGGGAATGATTCTGAATCGAGTGTTGTAGATTGCAGAACCTTTCATAGGTATTTTTCGTCTCGGTACTCGGCTAAAAAATTTCCCACCAGCCTGCTTGAAATTGAGAGGGCTGGCTTCGCTCGCAATGCCGGCTCGACAGGGCTAGCGCGGCGATTTAAGCAAGCCAGTTATTGGACAACCGGAAAATTGTTTACGTTTTTGCTTGACCAGATTGAAAACTACATTAACAAAATGTCCAAAGCCCTCCAAAATTGTGTGTTAAAGAATTTGAGAAATGGCTACTTTAACGTGACTGGTGACTTAGTCTGACACTCCATATACATAATCATAAAATAACAACTTTTCTAATAAAGTCAAGCTGCATGCATTGGGGATCTTCTACGGAAAATTCAATATTGACATTTTTTTTCCGGGTGTGTCCGAATTTTCAAAACCACCCCCTCCCCCGAAGGTCCGACTTCTCGTTCAAAATACAGGGATCTAAACTTACAGAGTAATTACTTTGCAATCGATAACAGTTGGTTATTCATTTTCAATATAATAAGTGCTTTGCTTAAATTAACTTTAATCTAGGGTCGGATTAACATTTTTTAAAAGTGTAGGGTCAGTGAATAATTAGTCTTAAATTCTTAAAAATTGTTCGGGCATTTAAACTGTTATCTTAGATTACATAATATTTCGTAGACTAAAATATTTTAAAGATACCTTACTGTAAAGTGTAAATTGATTGAAACGTCCTCGCCTATTAGTTTGCCTGGGAAACAGGCTGGGACTGTCATCGAACTACGGGCGAAACGGCCGTTTTCGTGGAGTGAAAATACTAAAACATGCCGTGAAATGTTTTTTTTTTCTGTTTTTCCGTCTAAAAGCTCGTTGACAGTCTCAGCTATTTTTTGTATCACGTGAAAGTTGCATCCTGGGAATTGGATTTGAACGTGGTAGAAACAGATTATCCCGGTATGGACCGGTTTGGTTTCCTTAGTGATTTACGAGAATTCCGGTATATGTATGGACCGGTTTTGTTCCCTTAGAGATTAAGGGTTTAGGAATTTCCTAGTTATTTTTCGACATAGAAGATTAGAAAAGATATCTTTGGATTTCTGTACATGACTACTTTCAGTATCGATTTTTTGCAAACCTCGAAATTAAAAGCCTATTAGTTGTTCTGATCTAATGATTCCAATTTTACTCCCGTTAAATTCTCCGCATGAACTAGTGAATTAATAGGTTCATACCCTTCATAGCTATGAATCGTCAAATACTCGTGAAATATCCGTGTTATAGTGGAACATTTGGACAGGGCCATTTACTTTGTACTCAGGTCACAACAGAGATATTTTAGTGGCTCATCTCTTGAGTGTCGTTCATGTAGAATCATATTATAGACCAGCTAGTGTTTTGGTCGAATCTATGAATCTGAGTGCACGTATTTCCATAATATTCTCGAGACCTTTAATTCGAGGGGATATCCCTCCCTCTTATCTCATATGCTGTCTCGTCTCGTTTTACTTTTCCAAACCCAGCTGGCATTTAAGCGTATCATTTTGACTCATATCACTTCTTACACCATCCTCCACTATTCGGCAACCTTCCCCAGGGTTGCCACACCCCAGAGGTAGGCAGAGCATCTCAATGTTATCCTCTCGTGGGCTATCTTGGCCCAGCCTCTCTTTAAAAAAATAAAATAAAAATATCCCGCCCGCTCAAATGTAGCCGTCCAGTTCGTAATAATAAACTCTTGACGAAACACTACCTGATATGAATTTAATCAATTAGCAAACCCCTAGACGATCAGCTAAGCAGCCAGGGCTGCGCTACAAAAGTATCTTATTAAGTTACTCTTTATTAGATAGAGGTGTAGAGGTTTATTCATACCTATCCATTGTACTTTGTAACCACAAGCTCGCATTTTCTAGTTTCTGAAACCATAGAATTTGTGCGGTTCTGTTATGGAGTTTGATATCTGTTCAATATTGACAAGCTTGATAGCAAAGCATTACTTTAATAATTAGGAAATGTGAACGGATGCAGATATAATATTCCGTATCACTGGTTGTGTTTTCTTGTTTTCTTTAGTGGAATCGACTTAGAACAAAATGGTCAATGAGGCTGGCTAAAGTAATGCAATAATTTCCGCTTAATGAAGTGTTGTCATAGCAACGTGTTGTCATACTGTCATAGCATCGTGTTGTCATATATAATTATAACGTAGATCCAGACATTCAACATTGTGACCAGTAAAAATTTCGCACTTTTAATTTTTCACTTTTGTTCATAGTTGGTTAGTACGCACTTAACGTACTTTTAAAGCAAAATTGCGAACTTTTTGTTGCCTCAAATAGTGTATTTCGTAATACTTCAAAGCAACATTTATTTCCAAAAGTGACTGGCAGTTTAATACTACAGTGTAGTACACACACACACATTGTTGTATTACCAAGACGAGTTCGTTAGTGTTCTCCTTGGTCATTTCATGTTTAATTCCTGTTTAATTCCACACATGACACATGGAGAGGTCTCCTCCTAGTCGTTGGAGTGGCCTGCATCACAGTTCACACACATCCCTTGTACGGCGTAACAGGTTCCTCCATTCAACTCGGTTCAGTGCTAACTGTCGTACTGCATCTCGGCTGATGTTGTCAACACCTGTAAAGCTAGCAGCATCCTCGAGTACACAGGCCATCCAGCCTTTTCGGGGTCTCCCTCTCGATCGCTTTCCATAGTTAGGTTTCCACTCCAGTAGAAAATTTGGTAACCTAGTCTCTGGCATTCTTACAACGTGTCCATACCACCGTAGTCTAGCAGAACCGATGAAAGTGTCTATAGACTTTACGCCAGCACGCCTTAAAACTTCATCATTGGAGACACGGTAAAACCACTTTATCTTCAAGATTCCTGTTAGACCTGACCTTTGACTGGCAATAATTTCGGCTAGGAACGATATTTTTCCACGGGATGAAAAGCATCTGATAGATATAACTTACCTCTATCAAAAACAACTAAAAGTCGATTTTGAGAAAATGTCCATGAAGACCCCCCTGCCCCCTTAACTAACAGTACTAGTAGTACTGTTATTACTTTGTATATATATATCCATAGCACAGTGTTTCGTCCTATTAGGTCTCATCAGTATGGCCCAAACCGCTCAATTCATCGGGTTTATTTTTGCTGATGGCGGGGATTGAACCGGGAACCCTAGGATTACCAGTCCAGCTAACCGTTGCACCATCAACCTATTGTGAATAGGGAATGAAATAGATATCAGAGTGCTCGTCCAGCTCATTTTAAGTTAGGAGCTATGCGTAATGCTAAAAGTTGTATATCTGTTCATTATTCATTCCCCTAGAGTGCTCAAGCTCAGTGGACTAAAAGTAAACGAGCATATATATCCATAAACACAGTGTTTCACTCTATGATAGCTCATTTGCTGTAAGAGGACCAAAACTATGGAACAAAGTGCCTGACAGTATTAAAGCTGAAGCTACTTTTGAGTCGTTTAAAGTTAGTTTGTCCGAGTGTATTGCTTTGATATCGGACGATCCTTCGATTTCCGGTCTTGATTACGGTTGATTGCGGAGGGGGGGGGGGGGGGGGGGGGGGGGGGGGAGGGGTAAAAATTGCCAAAATATTGATTACGTAATATGTGAACGACCCCTTATTATGAATGGTGTCTTAATTGTATAATTATAAAGTAGTGACATAAAGTAAAACGCACTTTTTTGTACTTAAACGCACTAAAAAATAGGACGCACTTCACGCACTTTTCCCAAAAAATTAACGTACTAACCAACTATGCTTTTGTTTGCCTATTTTAACGGAGAGGTGATTGTAACTTCCGAAAATTTCATAACAACATTTTGGGTCGTCAGTAATTTTTTGCGCAAAAGTTTAAAATAAATAATTTTAGAGACGTCTATGTGTAAAAGATTAGACTCTAAATAATTGAATAATTTAAAGCTTAGCTAGCATTAACTTTGTATTTTAGATAACTACTTGGTCTTGCTGACTAACACTTACATAAATGTTCAAAGAAAATACAAATATTGTTAAATAGACGGAGCATGACACAGCTGTCGTTCAGTGTCGTTTGTGAAAGTGTTAGAATTTGTTAAGACTGCTATAAATTAAGTAAG